CTACTCCAAAAGCGACTATTTTGCCAACATCAGAAACTATCTGATATCGTAAAGGGTTTACCTTGTCGTTCGTGGGTGTTTGGTGAGTACAGATGACTCTTTCAAAACCTCCCTGTGAAGTTCTAGGTTGTCCAGGCGACTCTTACGAAATGAAACAGGGAACATCATCGCGTTCCGTACAGAGCTTGACTTTGGTGCGCCCCCAGGCCGGCATGATACCTATGGAGCAGCGTATACTGTTCGAGTCCAAGGTGACCAAGTTGATTCTAAATAATAAGCTATCTAGACTTTATACCACTGTGAGACAGTAAGGAATGTGAGTGTCGCAACACAAGAATTGATGATACAACAACAATTGTTCATGCACCCTCTCAACGCCATCAGACAAGAAAACCTACCCACATAAAGAAAATGCGCTAGGCATTGACCTCCCTCTGTTGTGGAATGAACACTGCTCTCATGGAGTGAATGCACACAACAGTGCAAGTTTCCTTGTCATATGGTATTGAGAAGTATCTGTACATGATACCCGATCTATTAAGTATATACCATTATCGTATGCCAACAAAAATTAGCTAAACGATTTTCTTTGAGGAGACAGAGATATCATTCGAATTCCACATCATGGTCGTCTTCATCCGCTAGCGTCATCACCTTCAGCTTGACATCTACCGTGATATCCTTCCACTTTGATTCATCACCGTGCTCTTGTTTATGGATCGAAACAAGTGTAACGTCAATCCTGTCTCCTGCCCAAGTTCCGTTAATGAGCCATTCGCCTCCAGACATGGCAACAGAAGGATCATCAGAGCGACCAATAAGACAGAAGAGAACTTGGGTGAGGTTACGCGATCTGGACTTGATCACATATTCTCGTTTACTGAGGTTGCGGACCATCCAGCGGTCCCCCTCTGGCCTGCCTAGCCGAAAATCCTTCCGATCGAACCAAATCCAACGATTTATTCGTTCATCTGATTGGAATCTCGAGAGCTCCTCCAGAAGGCGAATGTTGGTCTGAGCTCTTTTGTCGTTGTGAGCTGAAATCATCTTCGATGTCAGCGGGGTGAATTTTTCAGCAGCCGCACAGAGAGCGCTTCCAAGCATGTCGCTGTTACCCCCAGGTGCCAACTCTTTTTTGTCTTCCTCAGTTAACACTCCTTCGGGCAATGTCCTGGCGCAGTCTCCGAGAAGAATTATACGAGTCCCAGCCCAGCTGTGCCTTCTGAGTTTGGAATAAAGAGAGCGGTATCGAACTCGTGCAGTGTTTTCCCACATTGTTGTGCAAGTCAAAGAGAAACAGAGCAAGTCGAGGTATTCCTCAAGTTCGTCAGCAATCGCAAGCAATAACTCAAGGGGAAGCGCAACATCGATCGTCGTCCCTGCGCTATCCGTTCTGGTGGATATAGTCAATGTGAGCACAATCGGTTGATGCGATAAAGATACCGAACTCACTTCAAGTCGATTTTTTGTAATCTCTCTTCGAAAATAGTTGTGTTGGATGTGTATGTCGAGGGAATAACAGGCGCCATCATCTCGTTGATCACACGGTTAGAACGCCAGAAAAAGTCTCCAAGCTTTCCTAGATAGCCGGTGGCTTCCCTGTTGTCGATGCTGATTACGTTCCAGTACTGTATCATTATCCGCGCGATGGTGGTTCACGGTTGAACTTGAGCTAATCATGCAAGATCTGCAAATCCCAGGAGTTCACCTAAGCGCTTGATTGTAAGCGCCATTGAGGGTACAATGACATTGGATCTATTTTGTCATTTGAAGGCCTCTGTCTCGAGATGGATGACAAGGTTTTGGAATCAACTCCTACTTTGAGATTGAAAAAAATTGTCCCTGTGTTGCCACCATGAAGAAGCGGGCCTCGAACAACTGAGTTCAAGGGCGCTGCATAGTTAATCAATCGTGTGACCGTCCACGTAAGCCAGATCAATATACCAACGCTGAAAAATTTCTTGTCTCTTGCCTCACAAACCGACCTCCTTTGAAGCATTAACTTGCTTCTTTTCTTCTCGTCGCTATCGCTGCTGTCGTATTGCTTGCTCTGTCGTTATCCTAGCTTTCTTCGTCTTTGCTCCACCTCCCGGTCTCCAGTAAAAGGCACGTCGAGTCAGTACACGGAAAGAAAAAAATGGCATCGCAAATATCTCAACAGTATGCTTGTGTGTTGTTTTCTGCCTCCTCTTATCGTTTCTTGCTAATGTACATATTCTTTCCCTTGCCACACAACACAACTCACGATTAAACCAACCAAAATAAACGGAAATTGATAATAGACCGCGCTCAAAAGTCCCTTGCGCTCATTGGACCTTCACCAACATTTGACCCCATTCCAGGCTTCATTGCGCCTGACCCAGATGCTGCAGCCAGGACATATGCGTACAGCGCAGATGGGAGGCTATACGCTTATGCGTTGCCGGGTTGGTGAGTTTAGTTATTTAGTTGGTTTTGCTGTTCAAGTTTCGCTGATGAAGTCTCGATATTTTCTTGATCTATAATTCTTCGGGTTTTTATCCACTGGCTGACGTTCTGGTCGTCATCTTTATCGTCGCCGACATTCTCACCCGTAATTATCACCCGTAATCATCACCGTCATCGTCATCGTCACTGTCCCCATCGTGACTCGTTTTTCCTCCTCGCATCAATTTCTTTCTCTTCTTTCATGACAGTGTTCGTATCTTTCAGGCAGAAGGCGCCCAGCTACTCTCTGAGCTCGCCCTTCCCAATATCATCGAGCTTTCTTTTTCTCCTCGAGGAACATACCTCTCCACCTGGGAACGACCTCTCAAGCTTGACGGTAGTGCTCAGCAACACAAAAATCTTCGAATCTTCTCCGTCTCCACCAGCGATGAACTCGTCTCCTTCACGCAGAAATCTCAAGAAGGTTGGGATGTGCAGTACACGATAACGGAATCGCACGCGATCAGGCTTGTTGGGCAGGAGATACAGGTGTTCAGGCCTACGGAATGGGGCAAGGGTGTTGTGGATAAGTTGAAGGTTGAGGGCGCGAGTAAGGCTAGTCTGAGTCCTGGTTTGAATCCCTCAGTTGCGATTTTTGTTGGGGAGAAAAAGGTTGTGTGTTTTTTTGGTTATGAAAATCTTTATATTCATGGTTATCACAGGGTGCTCCAGCAAGTATTAAAATCTATGCTCTTCTCTCACTCTCCACCAGCACTCCTACCTGCCAAAAATCCTTTTTCAAAGCTGACCGCTCGACTTTGAAATGGAACGCGCTTGGCACGCAACTCCTTCTCCTCACCCAAACTGACGTCGATAACACGAACAAATCTTACTACGGCGAAACTTCCTTATACCTCCTCAGTGCCGCAGGTAACTTTGACTGTCGAGTAACGCTAGACAAGGAAGGACCAATTCATGATTTCTCTTGGAGTCCCAATTCGAAGGAGTTCGGTGTTGTTTATGGGTATATGCCTGCGAAGACCGTCTTGTTCGATCAGAGGGTGAAGGCGGTATACGACTTTGGGTCTGCTCCGCAGAATTACATATCGTTCAACCCTCAAGCGAGACTTCTAGCTTTAGCTGGGTTTGGAAATCTCGCAGGAAAAATCGATGTATTTGACCGTCGAACATTGAACAAGCTATGCACCATTGATGCTCCGAACACGTCTTACTGCGAATGGAGTCCAGATGGCAGGTTTTTGCTGACTGCAACGTTGAGTCCGAGACTCAGAGTCGACAATGGGATCAAAATATGGTATTGTACTGGCCAACTCGTTCATGTACAACTCGTGGAAGAAATGTATCAAGCCTCATGGAGACCTATCCCCGTCGACAATGTCGCACCCTTCCCGAACCAAGGCCCAATTGGTGGAACACCTCCGACTCCAAGCTCATCCGTCGCTGAGTATTACCAACAACAAAAAGGCGGATCAACGACGACTTTGTCCGGAGACGGAACTCCAGTGAAGCCTGCTGGAGCTTATCGACCTCCCGGAGCACGAGGGAACGCTACACCGGCGATATTCAAGAGGGAAGATGAGGGTGGGTATTCGAGGAGTCCCAGTGGACAGAATACGCCCTCGAGAGGGTACAGTCGGAGTCCTGCCCCGCCTCCTCCGGGATCTGCGGCTTCGTCGATGAATGGACAAGGGAGAGGGGGTAGGTATGTTCCTGGGGCTCCTCAACCTCTTAAGAATGAGACTCCATCAAGGCCCGCGTCCTCTGGACCTAGTGGTCCGCAAGGACAGGGACAGGGACCACAAGGGCAAGGGCAGGGAGGATCGAGGAAGAGGAATAAGGGTGGGAAGAATCGGGATGGTAAACCCGAAGAAGGAAGTCAAGGACAGGGACAAGGAGGGCAAAAGAACGGGCAGAATGGAAATGGCGGTCAACAACGACAACAACAACATCAGAATGGGAACGGGAAGAAACCTACTTCGATTGATCTAAGCGGGATTAGCTCGAAGGCTACTAATACGAACGGGAAGACGCCTATGCTCACCCCTCTCGATACGACAATTTCGACTCCAGTGACACCAGGTTTAGACAGTGCTTTGGACCCGATTGCGAAAAAGGTTAGGAATTTAAACAAAAAGGTATGTTCTACCCACAAATTGCTCTTTTATCGAAAATCATTCATACCAACACCCTCCTCAGCTCAAAGCAATCGAAGAACTCAAAGAAAAGTCTAAACGTGGTGAACGACTCGAGGCTACGCAAATGAAGAAGATGGAGGGAGAGGTAGAGATTAAGAAGGAGCTTGCTGCGTTGGGTGTCGCGGCTGAGTCTTGAGTTTAGCTTTGTGGGAGCTTAGGGCGCGCGCTCTTCCTCAGCATGTAAACCACTCACACTCTCAATTGCATTTGTAATTGTCAAGTACCGTACCGCGCGAATTAGATCCTTCCATTTCTATCTCGTTAATCATAATCCTCGATATATTCACTTCTGTCCTCTGACTATCACTGGAATTGCTCTGTTTTTATTGGTTCATCTGTTATCAGCTTGAATACCTTATCATTTTTATATCGGAATGCTCCGATATGGTGTAGTGGCTAACATTATCGCCTCTCATGGGCAGCCCAGTCAGGTTCATATGCGCGATAGCCCGGGGTTCGATTCCCCGTGTCGGAATTTTATTTTGTTATCGTATCCACATATAAATGACTTATTATCCGTTCTTAGAAGTGGTCAGGCTTCATTGGTATTTGAGTTGATCACTCATTTTCGTGATGAAGGGGGTACATAGTACTCTGCAAAGCACCTTGCAAAGCACCTCGAGCTACCAACATACACATCTCATGATTTATTATAAACCTTCATAACATCTCGATCCCCAGCGGAAGACTCGGACTCGGGCTATCTTCATCATTATCCAAAGCGGGGAAGATGGTGAAAGTGACGATTGGCCTTATTCCAACATTCTCCACAAGTTTGAACCGAAACTTGGCCAAGCATCTCGTGAGAAAGGTTTGCATTAGGAGAATTCTAGTGTGAAGTCAAAAAAAAAAAGTGGAGACGTAGGGGTATTAGTGAACACTCACGACAAACGCCATCTACAAGTTAAAACACTCGCAGTCAATCGAGGGAGGGGGAGGAGTAAAAAAAATCTAATCGCTCACCCAACACAAACCCGAGCTCCTCCAATGAAAGACGATCTGAGGCGCGAAACATTAACGGTTCCACCAAGAAGAACAGCGAGAACGTACAAATTCGCATATGGTCCAAGACCAGTCGAAACTCTGACTGGCCCTTGTTCTGATTCAGATAACCTTTGTGTCGGAAGCCACCTCCAAGGATTAAACGAGCCTGCGTCTTCACCCCATATCGAGCGTGTTCTGAGCGATAAATGAAAAAGCTCAGGACCATTAGCCGATCAAAAAGACCCACTTGTTATACGCAGCTAGATTGAAATGAACCCTGGTCCCTTTTTGTACCAAGATCTGTGTTACTTTGCTTTTCCCATCTGCGGAAAGTATGGGCTCAGCCAGTGGAAACACGACGTCTTCTAAAGTGATTCGGTTGACCATTGGGACACCGGGATAAAATCGAAGAGTCTCCTATATCCATGATACATATATGCCCTGGTAAGCCCAATAATATCCGCGAGCTTAGGTTGAGCAAACCTTGATATGAGCGTTCAAACACGGAAGGCCATCTAGTCCCTCATTTCGAAAAAACGCCTGTGGACATTCTGCCTCTCCACTGAAACGAGCGTGGGCAATGATCTCCTCTCTAACGCGCTCTTGCCAGTCCGGATGCGAAGCAAGCTCATATAAAGCCCAAGATAGTGAGTTTCCCTAGTAAAGTGTTTCTCCAGAGTCAGTTCTGTGGAAGAGGACAGAAGGGTCGAACGAATGTCCCAAAGGCATAAGAGTACCATTGTAGGAGTATTATACGTACCACGGTATCTTGACCTGCGATCAACATGCTTGGGACCTGAGAAGCGATTTGACGGAGGGTAAGCTTGTTCTGGGATTTCGACAGTCCTTCGTTAATTCGAACTGAGTATATCAAAAATTATAATGGAGTAACAGTAAGGCTTGAATTGTACCGAAATTCGAAAGTAACCACTCACCCATAGCGCTAAATATGCTCGTACTGCTGCCATTATTTTTTGGACTCGTCGTCGTGTCCGAGTCATCCTCAGCAGAACATCCAAGTTGCTTCGATTCGTAGTTGACTACAATCTCATTAACAAAATCTGCGTTCAATTTTGAGAACCGATGAAGTCTCTTGAGCCTCTCCTCCGGTAAATGAAGCATGATTCGTAGGAGGGTTTTGGGTAAGAGAGCTTCTGCAAGGCGTTCGATGATCAGAGCGCGCTTGGTTGGTTTGCTAATCAACTCTGAGCTGTTTGTTTGCAAGTCGATATTGAACAGTAATCGATTTATAAACGTAAACGGTCGGTGCATTGGTAGTGGAAAGCTCACAGAATGTTAGAACTATACTCTATCCACATTTTCTGCGCGGTGTGCTTTTTTGAATCAGACTCTGGTGTGTCTCCAAGCACGGCTTAGTAGGTAGATGCCGTATAAACGCCAGAGTTAGATGATGATCTTAATACCTTAGCAAGCATGGTATTGTACGTACCATGCATGCTCTCAGTCAACGCAAACTTGCCCAAAGCCTGTTGAACGTTGATAGTGCCTTGTTCTCCTCTACCATTCTGTTGACATTGGTCAATCCATTGTTGAATGACCTAGAACATGATTTGAACGTCTCAATGTATTCGTATTGCGGGTAGGCTAGTAGATTGACAAAACATACCGCATCTGTACCTTCTTGGAAGGACGAAGCATACTTCCTGAACGCAAGATCCATAACCCCTCGGAGTCGACGATGACTAGGACCTGTATTCCTTTTGAGCAGCAGGCCCTGGACAGGGGGAAAAAATTTAGATGGGGAGAGAGAGTAAACACCTATTTCCGAGAAGACAGCCCCAGATCCATTAATCAAATCTGAGCTAAGCGTGTCCAAAGGGGGACGAGAGAACTTGTACGGGTTTTGAAAAAAGAATTTGAAAGCGGCAGGGTCAGAGATGACTAGACGTGTTTCCTGGATTATAACGTCTATGAGAAAAACAGGACGGGCCCAGGGATTGCAAACGATCTAACTCCTAAACAACCTCGAACAGTATACGCTGCTCCATAGGTATCGTGCCAGCCTAGGAGCGCACCAAAGTCAAGCTCTGTGCGGAATGCGATGATGTTCCCTGTTTGGTTTCGTAAGAGTCGCCAGAACAACCTAGAACTTCACCGGGAGGTCTTGAAAGAGTCATCTGTACTCACCAAACACCCACGAACGACAAGGTAAACCTTTTACGATGTCAGATAGTTTCTGATGCTGGCAAAATATTCGATTTTGGAGTAGATACCCTCCGACGATCATGATGGCAATGAGGGTTATGATATCTGGGATATTCATTGAGATTGTGAGGGACGAAATATAGAGTACGGCGAGTTGGAAGGAAGGAGATTCCGAGGCAGTCGCAAAGAATTTGATGTCTTAGTGTCGGACTCTGTGAGAGTAATCTGAGCAGCCCTGAGATTGCGGTAATAAGCAACGCACTGCAACGCAGAAGCAAGAAAGCAGTATTTTACGTAGATATATATACAAGACCTGATGCGTCGGATCTCGCGAGGGCTCCTCAGTGTGGCAGCCAGTGAAAGTCACTGATGAAGGGTTGGTGCAGGAAGCCATAGGCGTTCCTGGTGGTGCAAAGGAGAAAGCTTGAATGCAAACAAAATTGAACGTCGTTCATCCTTATATGGGATCACCGGTGGGCATCAAGCAAGCAATCCAAGTGATCCAAATTCGGTCTACCTTGAGGCACTTATTGTGCGCGAGTTTCATCAAGCGCACTGGAGTAGGATCAGGTCAGATGCTAGCCCTAATACACCTGATATGACCAATTGATGTCATATGTACAACCGGTTGGTGGACCGATCACGCCGTTGTCTACAAGTGATATATGGCGGTTCCTGGCAGTTTGATGCTGCCCAGTGGGCGGGTCCCCTACAATAACGTCCTATAGCCTCCAGTACTCTCTGTACTATATGTTAATAAATGTAGTACTTATAGCTCACTTATAATACACTTAAGACTATTTGAAAAATGCCAAGAAATAGTCATATATTAACATACTGTTATATCAATAATAAATCGCTACTAAACAGTAATAGTAATTGATATAATACACCTATAGTCCATTGTCATTGGCGACCGCCAAGGCCGCCTCCGCTCGGTCATCTAACTCCGACTCCTGGTCGTCTCCATCACTGTCATCCTCTTGATCATCCTCATGGTCTTCATTGTCCTCGGCTACCATACCCTCTTCGATGTGATTATGTACACTCTGTCGTCTGAGGCCGACTCCTGCGTGAAAGTATCGAGCGTTGGTGGGAGTGAATCCCGGGAGTTTTCGGATGGAGTCAAGGCGTCTACGGTGGGTAACGTTGTATCTACGCCTCTCATCCCTGTACCTGCGTATCTGATACGCTAACGAAGGATTGGTCTCTTGAACGGATGTTGCCACCAGTGAGACATATTCCTCTTCCTCCTTCATGTAGGTAATGAGGCGTTTGATCTCCATGTTCAGTCTATTAATCTCCTCCTCAGCTCGTATTAGCTTGAAGAGCTCCGACATTGCCTCTCGTACTGCTGGCTTTGCCCAAGTCTTGTCACAAACGTCGCTGCGCGTGTCTCGAAGGAAGTCGAACTCAGAAAGGTACGTGTAGTTCATGACATCATCCCAATGTAAGAGTTTGCGAGGGGGTGTAAGCTTTGCTGCGGCCTCATTGTACTTCTCAAGCGCTGAGCGGATAGTGGTTGACCTTTTCTGCATTGCATGGCCAATATGCTGACGCATCTTGTAGCCTGTACCGTATGTCAAGTTAGATAGCTTTGTAGTCATAAATAAAAAACGCACCCGTTCCAGAGATGTTCATCCGCGAGAGTTCGAAAATCCTGGCCACAATCAGGCCCTCCAGCTTGTCCAATGACTTCTGATAGATGGACATTGCAACCAACTCTTCCGCCTTCCTCCAGTCCTCCGAGCCCTTACACCACCTCTGATCCACCCTGATTCCAAGTCTCTCCTCCAAACACTGAACGTCGACCAAAAGTTTCGCCTCCAGCTCCAGCTCATTTACCATCTGTCTTTCAGACAGGTAAAGAGACTCTTCTCCCTCCACGCAAGATTCGCCCATTTCGTATAGTTTGAAGGTCCGTCTTGCTCGTCGAAGTTTTTCACGACAGTCTGACAGCTTTACCAGGGCTCGGTAGTAGCTACTGGCAAGAACGTCAGGCTCAGGGACGGAGTTCCGGGATTCTAGATAGCTTCGTTCTTCGTCAATGAACCCGATCACCTTTCCAGCATCCAATAGACCAAGTTCTCGCAAGGTTCTTGCAGTCTCTTGCGAGCGACTAATAATGCGTAATGCCTGTCTGTAGTTAGAGTGGATGAACTTCGAGAGGTTTGCGTAAGTCTCGAAATTATCCCGATGATAGGCGTAGGAGGAGATAGTCTGACGGCGTCGAAACTTGCTCATATACCGGGTAACTGAGGCAAGCGCGTTTGAGTGCGAAAAGAAACGTTCACAGACTTCCAGGTCCTCGATACCAGCCCCATA